AGGAGGAGGAGGAGGAGGAGGAGGAGGAGGAGAAGAAGAAGAAGAAGAAGAAGAAGAAGAAGAAGAAGAAGAAGAAGAAGAAGAAGAAGAAGAAGAAAAAGAAGAAAATAAATGTTTAAAATACACTGAAGCTTTGGTGTCTAGAAGCAGAGGCGGGGTGGGGGTGGAGAGAGAAAAGAAAGACGGACAGAAGGAAGTAAGTTGGGGGCAAATCTATATAGATTGTGGTAGAATATTTCCCAGCACACATTGACATCTCATTTGTCCTCTTGACGGTGACAATGGGATAATATTTTTCGATTATCAGATTGGCAACACGGAAAGTCATGGTAAATATTCAGTGTTGGCAAGAACCGGGAGCCTCCCTGCTGGAGGGAGCGTCGATTATCTGGTGTTCCTGAAAGCCTAGACACAGGATCGACCGTGCACACACTTGACCCAGACATCCCCTTTGTAAGACGTCACGCTTAGAGGTTGATTGGTCGTTCCAAAAAAGAAAAAATAACAACCAGACTTAGAGCGCATCTGTGAGTGCTCCACCGCTCACGGCTTCTTGAAACAATTATTTCTCGCCTGTCGTGTTCCCAGCACAGTTGGACCTGAATTCAATCCTTGCCCTCACAGTTCCCCTGACTGCAACAGTAAAAGTTTATTCTCCTAGCAGTGGAAGGATGATTCAGTGGTTAAGAGCACTTGCTGCTCTTGCAGGGGACCCGGGTTCGGTTCCCAGCACCCGACATGGCAGCTCACAACCATTTCTAACTCCAGTTCCAAAGAACCAGGCACCCTCTTCTGACCTTTATGGGCACTACAAAAAAAAAAAAAAAATAGCACACAGACATACAAGCAGGTACAACATTCACTCACGTAAAATAAATAAATTTTAACTTGAAAGGAGTGTTTCAAAAACATCTGGGTCTCAGCCGGGCAGTGGTGGTGCAAGCCTTCAATCCCAGCACTTGGGAGGTAGAGGCAGGTGGATCTCCAAGTCTGAGGCTAGCCTGGTCTACAAAGTAGGTTCCAGGACAGCCAGGGCTACTCAGAGAAACCCTGTCTCAAAAAAATAAATAAAATAAAATGTCTGAGTCCCTTCATTTACCACCAATGTGAGTGAGTGTCCTAGTTAGGGTCACTATTTCTGTGAAGAGTATAGAGAGAGATCTGACACAGGGGAAATGTTAGGGGATCCACAGGGATGACCCCAACTAAGAATCCAAGCAGTGGTGGAGAAGATGCGATTGATGCCCTTCCCCTATAATGAGATCGGTGTCTACCTTGGTTACCATTCTGAGAGCCTTCATCCAGTAGCTGTTTGAGCAGAAACAGGCACCCACTAAGCACTGAACCATACCCCTGGAATCCAGTTGTGGAGAGGGAGGAGGGGTGAGCAAAGAAGCCAAGACGGGGCTGCAGAAACAGTTGACCTGACCTAGTGAGAGCATGGAGACCCTAGTCATAAAGCTGTGGAAACAGCATTGGACTGAACCATGCCCTCTGAATGTAAGTGCCAGCTAGGAGGCCAAGACAGTCTATGGGGCCTCTAAGAGTGGAGCCAGTCTTTAACCCCAAAGCACAAATGGACTTTGGGAGCCCATTCCTACTATTGCAGCCCAGATACAGCAAGGAGGGCCTAGGCCTCCCCCAAACAATATGACAGACTTGAAGATCCCTGGTGGAGGGCCTCACTATCCCTGGGGAGGACTTTGGGGATGGGTTGGAGGGGGTTGGTGGGGAACATGAGAGGATGTGAGGGCAAGGGAATGGGGGGATGGATATGTAAATATGAGTAGTAATTAA